CTGCCCGGCCTCGAGGCGCGATGCTCCTGATGCTGGCCCTCTCCACTCGCCACATGCTGCGATTCCTTGAGCAAACACGGATCTTCCATGCAGACAAGCTATGGGATGACGGGGAGAGAAGGGGAAAGAGAAGGAACCGGAGGCTGTCCCGCTCCAGAAGATGCAGAGAGAAGAAGTGTGAAAATCAGAAAAGTAATACGGGACAGTTATAATGTTATCGATGCTTACTGTACTTTGTTAAAATAAAGAAAGAAATATGTAAATTCTGTATCTATCAGAAAGAGTTTCCAGAATTCCAAACCGTTTCTCTAGAAAACAGAATTTAGTCACGTTTCAGCGCAGGCTTTTGGCATGCTCTTGATTAATGTTAACCTAAATGACAAAACTAATATCCTACAGGTACAGATAACATTGTAAAAGTTTTCTGACATGAAGTGCCCAGTTAAACATTTCAACAAGTAAAACTTTTGGTGTTGTTTCCGAGGAAAGTTGTTTTGTTTGTTTGTTGCAGATTGTTAAAATTGTTATTGTTTTGCTGCTTTTCACTCGAAATAAACCCATGAGCGTTATTACTGTCTTATTTTCTTTGCCATTATTTCACAGCTGTAGTCATAGAAAATTTAAACCAGTTTTTACCTTAAACTATTTAACACCACTCAAAAACTTTGTCAGCCACTACTGCATACATAAAATGTCCAATATTACCCCCAAAATAAATGACAATAAATAATAAACTTTTTCCCAATAAAATAAGTGAGTTTGTTTTATTAAAAATAAATACACCTCTGGCTTGTATTTAAGAAAAATGTATAGACAACTTTTAAAATTTTCTGATATAGCAAGATGAAGCCACTAAGCTATATGATACTGACCCACCGGGCAAGATTTATCATTAGAAGAGAATATATGTATCCACATCACAGTTATGGTATATGTAGTCTATGAATACCTACTTCTTTCCACTTTAATCAGAATTAATTGAGAAGCTAATGTAAATTGCTTCTCCCTAGGCTGTCTATCTGACAATTTTCTGCCATAAAAATACGGCCATTTTCTATGAAAAACATGCATTAACACAGTTTATTTTTCCGGACCTCTTACACAGAGAAGAGGTCAGTTAGACCTTCTAATGCATCTTGCAATTTAAAATACTGTGCTGTGAAGAATATTGCTCTCTTGACCCAATTTCAGCCTCTTATTTCCAGAGCACTGCATAAAAGCTTGTGTCAGAGCATCCTTCAAACATATTAAAGCTCCTTGAACTCTGAATAGGGCTTTATTCAAGTTCCTCCTTGCTGTACACACAGGCAGTTGATGTGACTGAAGCCCCTTAAAAGTTTTACTATTTGAAACCACACAGTCACTCTCTGACCCCTGTTGTGCAGCCTTTGTTACTACCCTACAGAATTACATCCTTTTATCAGCTGAACTACCCTCCTCAAATCATCAGCCTCCTACTTGTAGCTGGCTACAAGTATAGTTTACTTGAACTCTAACCTTGTTTTGCTTCTACATAAAGCTGCTAATTTGCATACTTTCCTCATCAATTCTTTGCTATGTGTTAGAAGAGTGCCCTAGCCCCCAGAAGAGTGGGGGGTTTTGTTTGTTGGGTTTTTTGTTTGTGGTTTTTTTGGTTTTGGCTTTTGGTTTTTGGCTTGTTTGTTTGTTTGTTTGTTTGGGGGGTTTTTTGGTTTGGTTTTGGTTTTTTTTGTGGTGACATTTCAGGATCCCATCCCAGGAAAAATGTGTTCTTCATCCAGGAAATTAATTCTTTTCTAAAAATTATTTACTCTTCATCTTTGTCTCATCTAAGGCTGCTTTAAGGAGTCCATCTATATAAAAAAAAAATCCTGACAATTGCATGCAATGAGTTTTAATCTGCGTTCTGAATTTTGTTGTCCATACTGTTATTCTCCTCTCACATCAAACCCTGGAGCACGTTGTAATAAGAATCATCTGAAAAGACAACGACATGCCTCCATGGTGCAGAGGAAGAACTGTTTTATTTATACCACTTGCTCTCACTAAAACTAAGAAAACAAGAGATCATAGGCTTTTAAGAAGCCAAAGAAGGCTTTTAAGACTATCAGGTTCAGTCTTCTGCTACTTTCACAACTGAAAAATATTTCATATTTCCTGTCTGTGACTGCAAGCCTCAACCAGAACCATGCTACTTTACGTTAGTCTACTTACTTAATACTCCCAATATTACACTTATAACCAGGATGAATATTTAATTCAAGATATCAAGTCTGTTTTGGACTGTCTGAGAAAACTGAGGCATTTATTTTGTCCATATAACTAGCTGATTAAGACAGATTGTGTGTTAAAACAATGATGTCATGTTCTGTTCATTAGGCAAAAAGGCTTATTTACAACTCTTAATGCCATTTTCTGAATGGAAATAGCTCAGACATCCAAGATAAATGCATCTTAGTTCACTGAAAAGCTGCCAAACATACTTTAAGATCTTAAAAGCTCCAAGTTGTTAGCCTGGAAGTATTCTAAGTAGTTTCTGTTTAATATGAATGATAAGGAGGGTAGTTTAGCACAAAAGCCTACATACAGTACTGCCAAGGAGCATGGTAAATTAAATAATTAAAAGAAAAACCCACAGGAAAAAGGGATCTGGTGTTTACCTGTCATTGGTTCTTTCTCTCTCTTTTTTTCTTTTTCCTTTCCTTTCTCATGATTTCTTCAAAACTACAGCAGCTGAAGTAGTGAGCAGCTTCAGTGGGCAGAGCGAGGCTGGCACAACTCTACTACTGGTGTAAGGCCACCAGGAGAAAATTCAGCTTCAGCTTCACTCTTTGTCTGCATCACTCAGCTCCTGCTGTCAATCTTTGGGTGAAGGCAGAAAAAAGGAAGCACAGCAGAGACTAAGATTTTAAAACTGTGGTTGCAGAAATCACAACACGCTGTGTTACTGTAACAATCCCAATGTTGGAAAACAATGGAGAGGTGGCAAGAAGTTTTCAGTGCAGCAGGATTCTAAAAACACATTAAACATTAGCCTTCTAAACAAAGATTGGTAATTATTGCTGTGTGTTCTCCCATGCAAAGTGCAACATCATGGCATCTTAATATATAGTACAGAGCCCTTGCTGTGATCCAGCATCCACCTTTCAAAGATCCGTAATCTCAAAATTCTATTTTTTTTTTTCTCATTGCTGTAATAAAAGATCTGGTTTTCTAAACCTGAATGTCATCTTCTGTCTGTGACCTGAGCAGTACGTCCTTTCAAGGAATGTTTGTAAACTTGACAGATTTTATGATTGACACAAAGAAGTCACTTTTGGTACTTATTACTTCAAATTGGGAATTCTTCACCATGACTGAGACAATGAATTAGAACAAGGATATATCCAACAGCTACACCTTGCTGATAATACTCCATCATAGCAGCACAAGCATGGAAAATTCACAGAAAATATAACTAAATGACTGCATCAAATGAAAACATTGCTTTAGGGTTGCTGCCTGAGCCTCCCAGGGGTCAAAATTGCTTTAGGGACAGCTATTAATTTATCATAAACCAATATTTCAGTACCAGAAAATGTGAGATCAGTAGTTCTCACAAATAAGTGTATTGTATGTAGAAACCAGGAGTTACCAACATGGCAATTTTACAGTTATATTTTTTCCATTTAATTAGCAGGGAAAATACATGTGCACAGGTGAACTTTGACTGTTTAACTTCATGGCAAAGCCATGAACTACTCCTCATTTCTTGTCCGTGATAAAGTTCTGTACACTGCCTCATGGCCAATAATCTGTGCTTTTGACCCTTGGCCAAGGCACAGCTATTGCAGAATGGTGCCCTCTTTGACCAGCTCAGCAGAGACCTCTGTCATTGGCACATCCCCAGGGCTGCCTCTTGGAAAAGAAAAAGATGCCCATGTTTGAAGCAATAAATGACAACAGTAAGGATGGAAAGAGGCAAGCTCCCAAACAGATGAAACTACAGAAAGCCATTGAGGGTGTCATTGAAGCCTGTCCAAAACAAGTTCAACAACTTTTTTGGAGATAAGCAGTACTACTTATAAAGGCATTTTGGTGAACAGCCTCCTGACTGCAGAGAGGCCACAGACAAGTGCATCCAGGAATCCAGATAAGGCAAGAGGTTAAAACTCTATCATTGGATATAGGTTTTTTACTACAGGAGCTTGCTACAGTCAGGAAAACATTAAAACTGAACATTTTTGAATATGGAAGACAATGTATTCTCTGGGTTGCAATCAGCATCACAGGACATTTAAGAGTGTTTTCTGGACAAGAATACCCAAACAACTGAGAATTGCTCATAAGACTCCATGTACACAACTCTTACAGACACTATTGCCATGTACAGCTACTATTTCTACTTACGCAGTACTAACAATGACATTGTGACCACTGCTTTCGAAAAAAGGAGCTAAGATATTTTAGAAGCCACTCTCTTTAAAATTCCACTGACAGGATATGGCAGGAGAGGAAAAGAATCCAGTCATTTGAAATTCTTTCACAGAAAAAGTTATAGTACATTCTTAATATCAAATGACACAGGCAGATAAAGCACATAGATTATTTTAAGGCACTATGCCTTTTACTCTTCAAATCAAGAAGAATCAACTCATCATTTGACTCCCCTATCTGGATTTGCAGTCTGCTTTGAGAATTATGTGAAAGTAGATTATTTTTGCACGGAGAGAATGAGAGTATCTACATAAGATAGAGAAACCAAAGATTAATCGCTGTTCAGAGAAATAATGGTTCTCCTTTCAGACACAAATAGACCTTATTCTGAATTTAATTTCGTTACACACCATATTACACTGGGAACCAAAACTGAAATAAGCAGCTTTTTTACTTCCTGCTTATAGGCAAAAAATCAGACATTTGTCCAGACCCATAAAGCAGCAGGTAAGAAAAAGATGGTTTAGTGTAAATCACAGTCAGATAACATTAATTAAAGGGATATCTAGCATATTTTAAAACTTTATAAGATTTTAGCAACACCTTCATAAGCAAAATTTGTCCTCTTCTCGATCATATTTGGTTTTAGACATAACTTTCAAGTGCAGCTGCTTCATAAAATAATATTTATTTTGTTTTCCTGCCATCTTGTGGCTTAACCGCAAAATGCACTTATGAAAAAGCGGTACAACTGCTGGTCTGTGAAGCGATTGCTTTTGGAATACTATCTGATCTAAGCTGTGCTCCAGACCATCACCCCTTCTCCCCTAAAGAACATTGCAGCTTTCAACCGCACGGACCTGCAATCCAGTGAATTCCTGCAACAACTCGATACCATGGAAAGAAATTGTGCCAGCTAGGTGAGGTCTCACCAGAGGGGTGATGGCCCATTCTCTCTTCCTGTTCCCTTGACTCAGATCTGCCTAAGACAGTGAATTCTTACTGCATTCCTATTTCTCAGTTAAATACTTTAGTTTGAATGATTATGTGAGAAGTGAGCTGAATTCTAGTCTGGCTCATTCACAAACTGAGACAAACCCTATCAGTGCTACATAAGTGAAGCATGCAATATTATTAGTTACACTTCTCACCATCTGGAAAGTTGCATTTGGCAATATGCATGAGTGCTAAGAATCCAGCCATAGCCTTTTGGGATTCTTTGGCATTTACAGGGAATGGTCAAACTAGCTGATTTAATACAGCTCATATTAAGCAAACTAACATGAAATCCTAATGCCATTTCTTCGTTTTCTGTGAGCCAACTGTAGAAAATAAAGACTTGCTTTCTATCACACTCTCATTAAAAGGCATCATATTGTATGCTCACCTAATCCGGCCAAAGTTAAATAGATGGTTGAAAATCAGACACGAAAAATATTAGAGGTTTTCCACAAAGTTTGGAGGCTATTTTGTTTGGTTGGTTTGTTTTGCTTTTGTTGTGGCTCACTTTTTAACTGCCCAATAGAAAAACAAAGTTATTTGTTTTCTTCATGCTGGTGACATATCTGTATGGAAAAAAAAAATTGCCCATGCTGGATTTGAAACAGCCTCCTACCAAAGATGTAGTCAGTTAGATTTAGTGGCTAGTGAGAGTTTGCAGGTGAACAATACCTATGCGTATTTTTAGCAAGGAATAGCCCCTCAGGATTTCACTGGCTGAATTTTCTAATGTCAGACTCCTCTAGCAATTGTCCTGCCAGCTGAAATGCTATGCTAGTCTGACGGAATACACCAAGAGTGGTTAAGAGCAAAACACTTTGACTAGTCTGCCATTTACCAAGAAATCTTCTGGGCCATATAATTACAGGTGAGCCAGTAGAAACTTTCGAAACAAAATTGTTTTAGTTAATCAGTTTTATCAGTCCTCATGTACCACTTGCAGAATGCTCTTTCCAGTACCTTCCAACTATTTTTTCAGGGCACATGTTCCAGGGAAACTTTTCTCTAAGTTCAACTTTCAACTGTTCTACTTATGTTGATATATTTTATATATTAGTAAAGGCCTGTCTGCACAAACCAGTCTTTGAAATAAGTAGTGATATTAAAGGCTAAAGTCCTTGAAGCCTTTCTGCAGAAGAGAGAGTAAAGCAAAACAATATCCTTGTGTATAAGAGAAAAAATGTAAACCTGTGTGTGTTAGCCAGTGGTAACTTGCTTAGCCCGCAGACCCTGTAGAACCCTATAAAAGGTGTGCTAAAGATAGAAATAAACGGTGTTCACTTTTGCTTCTGTGAAAGGTGGTGAATAAGCTGGCGGTCTCTCAATATACTTACACCTGAGTTGCAAACCCAGATACTTGTATTTCATTTTCTTGACAGAGAGACTAGATTGGATAGTTAGAAAGGTGGGGGAAAAAATCTTAGAAGACAGCTGCAGAAGAAAAGGAATTGCAGGATTTCTCACAAGATCCTCATACAGAAGTTGTTGACATACCAGATAGTGAGGGAGGTGGTGGTCAGTGGCACAAAGTCTGGTTGGAGCAGTGTGACAATGAGGTCAATATTGGCTTTGAAGCTCTTCCACATGTTCATTAACACTCTGGATAAAGGCGCATCTGCACCCTCAGCAGATCTGCAGATGCCACCAAACTGTGAGGTGGGGCAGATACACCAGAGGGTCATGGTGCTGTCCAGAAGGATCCAGATAGGTTGAAAAAAGGGGGTGACAGGAACCTTATCCAGATCAGATGACACTGAGATCCCTGACAGCTTCAACCATCCAGTCATTGGGTCTGCACTGCATTGTAGAATAAGGTGCTATACAGCCCATGTGTTTTGTGGAACACAGAAAGCATGGGTCTAGAAACTCTGAATTTTAACACAAAATTTGATGCCTGTGAAAAGGCCCCAAATTTACAGTACTCTGATATATGTGGAGGGATTTCTACCTTTCACAGTTAAAAGCAATTTAAGTTAATATGTGAAAAAAACCAAAAACCCAATAACATTTTGAACGGCATTCTCAGTTATGAGTATTTTTCACTGCTTGAAATTGCTCAGATCCCCTGCACCAGTTGACAGTAGATTGAGAGGAATGTCCTGGTAACAGTGAGCACAATAACAAAGGAAAGAAAGGAAAACTGAGAAATCAGAAGAGAGTAATGATAAACACACTTCCCATGATCAAATTAAGCACAGCTCTAGGAATAGATCAATTGGTCAATCAACCAATCATATCACTCTCCTACAGATTCACAAATCTAAAAAAAAACCCACAAAATTAATCAGTGGTGTGTCAAAATAAAATTGTACTACAGAACACATATTGGCATAAAGATTGCAGCTACTTTTCATAACTGCTAAAAAAGACTCAGGCTCAGAATAAACATTATTGGTCTACCTTGGTAATCACACCCCCACTGACACACTCAGTGTGTTTTATTCACCATAAAATAAATAGTTAAGAAATCTAGTAAGAAAATGTTGCTTTTTCCTCAAAAGTACTAAGCAATACTGATAAATAGCAATAGTTAACATTTTCCTTCTTGAAATGTGTCTTCTTGTCTAATGGTTCTTGCCAACCCATAAGCCAAAGAGATGCAGATACCCCAAAGAATAAAGGACACCAGGTGACATTATCTCCACCCTTCTGCATTGGAATTATCTGATGACTAATTGCACAAGCCTTAGTTAATGTTTGTAGAAAGAAGTAAGCTGCTAATGAGGCAGAAAACTAGGAGAAAAATCCCAGCTTTTCAATTTATTTGTAATTATTAGTTACTTGGTAAAAAACAGTGAGAAAACAATAAGCCTGGTAAGATGTATCTTGATTTGCTTTTTCATTTCCAAAATCCATATTTGATTCTGAAGGGCTGTATCAATGTAATTTTAAATGGAGATACTGTATCTCCATATGATCAAGCCAGGTCAACCAGCAGAGAGCAGTCTTGGCAGGACAAAATATGGTGGGTTTTTTAGAGTTCTCTGTGTAACACAAGTTCACATTATATTTAACTTTGAGAATATCAAACACGTTATTATTAATGGCAGCCTGTTGAGCTTTAGAATCATATAATACTTGCCAGGGACATCAAGGATATCTTTTTTATCTGGAAAGAGCACTAAATGCATTTAAATTTAAGAGAAGTAAATTGGTCAGAAAAACTTTAATGAGGTAGTGGTATGCCATTTGCTCTTCTTCCAACAGCTGGAGCTAAGGTTTCATCCTTAGCTAAGTTAAATACTTTGGGTACTGTTCTGCATTAGAACTGGCCTGCTGAGTGCCACATATGAGTGAACACATTATGTATCAGTGGTTCTATACCCTTCCCTACAAAAGCAGAATTTGGTCCAATATGTTTGGTAAACTGCAGACATTTTGCTGATTTGCAAGACATTAGGATTAAATGGGTACAGTTCCTTGTGTCTGAAAACCAGGCAAGAATGTTATACGTTCTACAGAGGAGCATCTCCAGTGATCAAAACCATTTTCAGGCACTGGCAAACTAAAATTAAATGCCAGTTGTTAGTCTCCCATTTTTCCAAACAACAGGATTTCTAATATGAAATATCAGGCATTCTAAGACAAGCATTCCTCTTCATGGAGGTGAATGTAGATGTTTCCTAAAAGAGAATTATCTAGTTACTTTCCAGTTGGGGGACAGAGGTATTTGGGGCTTTTTGACAGTGTTTGTGGGTCTTACCCATTATTATAATCAAAATACACCCATGCAAGGTGTTATGTAACAAGAGAAACAGATGTTGCTCCACAGGAATACTACATACCTCAAGCATGACACAACTCTGGTATAATTTGGGAGTGGTTCAGGAGGTGCTGCACAGACATGGGCCAGAGAGACCTGCAGGAGGGAGCAGCAAAAGCTCAGCTGTAGTATTAGTAGTTAGCAAAATTTAACATTTATGTCCTCACAGCACTTTTCTCACACAAGCACAAGCTGGTGGGATTGTAGGTATTGCTGTAACTCATGAAGGAATGTAAGACAGAAAACATATTCAGCACCACATCAGTTATCTCACATGCTTGACTGACACTGCTCTGCACAGCTGGGAAGCCCAGAAGGTATGGAAATACCTCACTGTGAGCAAGAACAAGTCTAAAAGCCCTGAAAGCACCCTGTTGGCTCAGATAATAAAATGAATGTTGAATATGATACTACAGAGTATCTATAATCTATAAGACTACTTTGCAGAAATCTTACAGATCTTCTGAACTTAAGGAACTTGATGTATGAGTGCCCAGAGAAGCTTTTAAAAATTCAGCTTTCTGTTCAAATCCACCCAGTTAATGGAAACACAAAACATTCCTACAAATAAGGTTTTATTGAAAACATTATTGTTTTCCAATGCAAACTTGTCATTCTCTCCTTCAAGAAAAAGAAATTTCCCTCTTTAAATATGAACAAACTTACACTGGTGTTTTAAACTAGAAATAGTTAAAACCACTATGGGAAGGAATGTCATGCTCAAAGGCATGAAAATGCTGGACTTCAAGGAGTGTAACAGGGCAAGGAAGAATGGAGAAAGCAGCCAGGGACTGGTCATATGTACATCTTTTCACTCAGGGAAATATAATAGATAGCAATCTGAAGGAAGATGAGCGAAGTACATTCCTGTATTGTCATTACGCTTTCAACTCAAAGCTTCCCTTTTGATTCTGCATTGTAAGATTTCAAGAATTGCATGTAAAACATCTTCATTTTTTGTTTTGCGTGTGCTAGCACGACCTTTGTTTAGAGACCCATTTTCAGTTTGGGAAAAATGACCAAGAGTTTTAAATTGCAAAGGGAACTAGGGACAGTGCAAAAGGTCTGGTGTAAAGCACTGTATTGAAAACAAAACTATGTCCAAAACATTCATTTTGGGAGACAGCATTGGCCAAAATGAACTACATATTAACACACAAAAAAGATGTATTTTCCTCCCAATCTACATTTTAATAATCTAATAATCTGCATTTTAACCGATTAATCTTTCTGTCCTTACAAGAGTTTTCACTTTTAATGTGGACATTGTCCAATGTGTTTGCTGGACTGAATGATGCCCAGTGAACAGTGCAGGAAACAAGCACTTACACACACTTTTGAAGTTTGCTTCAGCTGTGGGCTGACTATAGGCGCCTTTTCCGACGAAGAGTCTGGTCTGCTTGCTGCTTTACAGAGCAAAGCGGAACTTCAACGCTTCCTTACCACCTTGGTGAGTTGTGTTGTAAGCACTGCTGACAGAAGGAGCAGGAGTGTCTTGGGCATTCTCACCTCAATGAATCACTCACCATGCTCTGCACCACCTTAAGCCCTCTGTGGCTGGACAAACATATTGTTTTCACTTTCAGGTGCTGTGACAACAGCCACAGCTAACAGCCACCTGGGGATGCTGACCCAGGGAATCTTCCTTCTCTGCTCCTGCCCCACCAACAGCACTTGCAGGACATGCTTCAGCTGAACAGCAAATCCACAGGACCCTGGAAAGCTGCAGCCCAGTATAAACCCTTATATGGCCACTGTAAAGAAGCCCTCTTGTCCCCAAATATGTTTTTGCACCTGGTGTGAAGAAGGCCAATCCATGCACAGAATGGAGATATTTTATTTACAGACATGTGCAGCAACAGGGGCTTGGTGGCAAATCCACAAAGCCAGCACCACAACTACCAGAACTTTTTCCTATTATACATTTTAGCAAAAATAAGAATTAATGTTCATTGGCTATAAATGGCATAGTTCTTTTATTAATCAGTAGTCTATCTTCTATAGGTTAAGAGAGTCCCTCACTTCTTATGTTAATTATTCTGCATACTCAGTCTTTCTTTTCTTTTGGGTCAATGGTTGCATCTCCTGCTGCTGGAATTATTTTTTTTACACAGTCATACCTGATTCAGCACAATTGCTGAGTTCCTCTCTTAGTTTCTTCCTTTTCTCGGGGATTTGGCCAGATGTCCTTGTGGCTTGTAAATTCTGCATTCTTTACGTCTACCATCAGTGGTAGATCCTTCTCCCCAAGCTCAGATCTCCCCTAGGTCTGAGATCATTGAAGCCTGCCAAGCCTTAATAAGGCAATTCTGCCAACAAGTAGTTTGTTTTTCTAACATCTGGACATCACTTACAACTGTTTCAGGGATTAAATATTTTTTGTTGGAAGTATAAAAATGTAATACATTAAAGAACATCACTTCCTGAATTTGTTTTACATTTTCCACATTTTGCAATAGTACATTCCTCTTCCAGGCTTTGTCAACCTCCCCTAGGTTTTTGTCAACTCCCCCTAGGTCTGAGCATTGAACCTTCCTCTAAGTCCTGACAGTGAAGCACATTGGGTCCTAAACCATAATAAGGCCATTCTACTTACAAGTAATTGATCTCCTGAACACCTGGATAAACATGCCATATGATGAGTGAGCAACTGTTCACGGGTTGGGCACAAAGGGTTACAGTGACTGGGGTGCCGTCAAACTGGTGACCTGTCACTAGTAGGGTTCCACAGGTTTTCATCTTCGGCCCTGTGCTCTTCAACATCTTCATAACCAACCTGCACACAGGACTGGGAGACTCAGCAAACCTGCAGACAATACAAGACAGGGAAGAGCTGTTGACTCCCTCAGAGGCAGGGAGGCCCTGCAGAGAGACCTTGATGAATCAGAGAGCTGGGCAATCACCAACTGTGTGGAGTTCAATAGAGAAAAGTGCTGCACCTCGGATGGGGTGACCCTGGATGTCCAGAGGGATTGGGGAATGAGAAGCTGGAGAGCAGCACCATGGAAACTGCTGCAGGAGGTCCTGGTTGAGCGTAAGTTGGACATCAGTCAACAGTAGCCTGGCATCCTGTGGGGCCAACCATATCCTGGGGGTATCAGTCCTAGCATCACCAGCTGGGCAAGAGGGGAGTGTCCCACTCTGCTCTGGGCTGGGGCAGCCTCAGGTCCAGTGCTGAGGGCAGTTTGGGAGACCACAAAGTAAAAAAGATCTAGAACTACTGGAGTGTCCAAAGAAGGGACACAGAGATGGTGAAGGGCCTTGAGGTGAAGCCATATGAGGAGTGACTGAGGGCTTTTTGTCTGTTCAGCCTGGAGGAGACTGAGGGGAGACCCCACTGGGGTCTGCAACTTCTCTGTTGTAAAGGGAAGATGAGGGGCAGGCCCTGATCTCTCCTCTGGGGTGATCAGTGACAGGACCCAAGGGAATGGCCTGAAGTTGTGTCAGGGAGGTTTAGGTTACCGCGTAAAGGTTCTTTCCTTTTCTGACGGTGTTTGGGTACTGGAACAGGCCCCCCAGGACAGTGGTCACAGCACCAGGCTGACGAAGTGCGAGAAGCGTTTACAATGCTTCCAGGCATCATGCAACTCTTGAGATGTCCTATGCAGGACCAGGAGTTGAGACTCAATAATCCTGATGTGCCCCTTTCAATTCAGCTGATTCTGTGACTCTCTGCGATCAGTACAAAGCGACACTGCCGGACAGGCATGAGCAGAGCAGCTTTATCCCAGCGAGGCGGAGCCGTGCCGCCCCCACAGCTGCCAGGACTCCCCCTCCCTCCCTCACGCCACCCCTC